GAACCAATCTTTGACTGCTGCCAGGAGACGTCTCAGTACAGACACGTAATACACAGGTTCTGATGCATAATACATCAGTCCATCAGCCATTGAGATGCATATTTATCTCTTTGGCCCTTTCTAAAAAGTAGGCCGCGAAAGTATTGTCAGCCTCAAAGGTAGCTATCTCAAATAGCTCTTTACTTATAAAAACAAAGAAGGAGCAAGGAAATTCTCGGTTGACCTATACAGCCAACTGTATCTGGATAGGCTGCTGGCAAGTCAGTGTTTCTCTTTGTTCCTATCCAAAAGGAATACCAGCCCAGAAACTTTTTACAGTGTTTTCATCTTGTAGCCTTAATATCGTCTCTGTGCTTGTCCCCCTGCTATCAGGGTCTAAAGGAAGATGAAGTATGTGGCCATATTGGAGCTTATAAATCTTTCCTGGGCCACACCAAGTTGTCTCCCATGCAGATTTCATCTATCCACACAATTGCTAGCTGTGCTCTCCTATCTGCCGCGTATCTACCCCTAAAATTTAAAGTAAGTTCTCCCATCACATTCAGACTTGGAAAACTGGGAGCTGAGCAGTGCAGAAATAGTTCAATTTAGGTCAAAGAAATTCTGATATCTGTCACAAAGAGATAAAATTGATCCACAGATCAGTTCCAGTCTAAGATTTCTGCATCAGCTACTCCATGCCCTAACCAATTAAGAATATATTTAGGGCTAGATCAGACTCTGAATTTCAGATGACAAACTTAATTTAGTTCTTTCTAATTTAGCAGCAGGACAGACTCTTCCTTTTTCTTCCTCATAATATGGAATCTAGCAGCAAGTTATTGGAATTCTTTGTCTAGTTTCATCTCATGACCTCCTTCCATCCCTCTTCCACTGGAGTCCCTGTACACTGTTGGGGCACAAACATAATTCCTCCAGCCTCTGCTAGAGAAAAATGGAAACCAGTTAGTTGGATCTTAATGAACTGTTGTAAAGTTTCCAGGGTAGCAACAGTATTAGCTCTTCTTTGTTTCCAATTGTTAAAAGCCCTCTCCTTGTCACACCCATTTCAGAGTCCTCTTCCCTCTATTATTTATGTTTCTGTTGACATTATAATGGTGACCAGAGTTTGCCATAAACTTTAATTGCTCTTTTGCCTCTACATTTGAGGATATTGCTCCTAATAGTGCCACATGTGTGCCACTTTTATGAATATTTGCAATTAAAATATCCTGCCCAGCAGATAATGTTTGTCATCACTATTTGATGTATTGATCATCATATACCTTAGGTTCATCAATCACTCTTCTCCTTGCTTGCTTTCTAGTCCTGAACTGTTTAACTGTGTCTCTTTTTCTTCTTTCTTTCTGTATTAGCTCCCTGATTATTTTTTTTGTTATTTTTCACATCCGCTGCTGCCCGATTTGTTCCCTTCCCTCCATCTCCTTTTGCTTTCTCCATGCGCTTCTTGTTTGGCTGTATTCTGTCTGTTATACTTGGGTTTTTTTTTTTTTTTTTTTTTTAACTCTTTCTAGTTTTCCTTTCTCCCCCCATCCCCTCCATTCTCTTTCCTCTTTTCCTCTTTTGTTTTCTTTATTTTTCTACTTTGGCTTTTATTCTTTCCGTTTTCTAGTTTCTTCTCTCAAGCTCACAAAATCAATGGAAAACATCCTAATTCCACGATGTCTGAGGCTCAAGTGCTTTGTGATAACCACACTGACTCTCCTCTAACTTTTCTCTCTGCTTTCAATTGTGCAACAGTGCAACAGGAATGGTCTGTTATACCCATACCTCTTTTCCTGTTGGGCAGGTCAGGAAAAGTCTCACAGTTCTAAGATTTGCAGAGCACTTTTAAGCATGGGATAACTCTCGTGGCATAGCGTTTACCATTGCCATATGTTTAAACTGAGATTTCCAGAATAACAATCATAAAGCTTTAGTGACTTTGCTGTTAGATTAAAGTGCTTGAGGATGTGCTGCATTGAAATTACACAGGTAAAAAATTTAAAAAAATCATTTGTTCAAAAGCAGAAATCTCAGAATGAATTGTTGTTTTTCTGCTATGAAATGATTTCCATGGAATAAACTACTAATAGACTCATAAAAGAGATAGTAATGCTTTAAAAATCTCATTCAAGTGCCAGTTTAGGGCTGGTTAAACTAGTACATTTCTACTTATTTAGAGACAAAAACATCAACTCGTGAATATTTGCACAGTGCTTTTCAACACATTACAGACATGATACAGTTGTGGTACATGCTGTTACTAGGAGTTTCCATACTTCTGCCATCTTTCATGAGAAGTCATGCAATGTACTGTGGGCACCTGTTGCCTTTTCTTCAAGCTCCAAATTAAAACAAAAAACAAAACTCTTATTAGTATACTCTGAGTCTAGATCTAGTGGGAAAATTGAGAACGTTTCCCACAATATTCATTTTGTAGGTTGTGCCAGCTCCCTATCCTCATTTTCTTGCAATGTGATGATAACCAGATGTGCCCTTATGAAGTTATGATGTGTTCAGAATTCAGACTTACTTAAGAGCAAAGCTGATCCTTGCAGTTCCTTGCAGTTTTTTCCATTCGGAATTGCTGCATGTAATTTCCCAGGGTGCAGCTGAGATGATTTCCTGAGCTTGTTCTATACTTTGTCATACAGTGACCACCTGGAAAAACTTTATTAAGATGTTTCAATAGGAAATGCTTCTAAACATATCAATCTTTGTGTATGCTAAGAGCAGTAGTTTTGAAGTAACTGAGGCCACAGAGCCCCCAACTACCATTCAAAACTGCTAGTATTGAGGGAAAACTGCTATATGAGAGTGCCCTTCACTCTCACTGAGTCCATTGAAAAACTACCCCAAGCATTCTTCTTGACACTTTGTGAGTTTTAAACCCCCAAATTCCCTTAGGTCTTGTGATGTCTGTCTGTTTTTTTAGATATTTTATCTGGCTAGGTATCTGTGTGAACCCTGACCCTGAGACCCCACCTCCACAGTGGTGTCTCTCATAAGACCATTTAAACAGTCAACCCACTTGACCTGCAGTTTTCAAGTTAATCCAGTTCACGTGCGTTTTTCTTTGCCATCACATTCATCATGTAGCGTGTGATACGTTCTGTGGAAAAGATCACAACTGGAATAAGATTAGACTAAGTGACCAAACAGCCAACTTACCTGACAAACCCATTCAGTCTGCTAAAGATGAGCAAAAATGGTAAGCGCTAGGACAGATCCTTTAGCATTTGTACCAGCAGGGAACATCAACACCGTAGTCAGCAGTTTTGCTTTAGGCAAGCACTGGAAAACAGGCATTTTTTCCTTGAGTTATACATCTAGGCTCCATTTCAAAAAGGTACCTGAAGAGCCTCCCTCCCTCGCTCTAAGCCTGTCCGTAGTTCAAGTGAAGACAATGTCACTTGCTAAGCGCTTTCTTAGCTTACTTAGAAGGAAGGCTGCTGTTTCATATTTTTCTGAATTAGGGCCTTGCACTATAATTTTTTTTACAGTTACTTTGATAATAACAGGGATATTACAGGTACTGGGAATAACACTTTGAAAAGTACTTTCCCTTGCGCTTCCTATACCGTGTGGTGGTACTTGTATCCGGTAGAAATTGTTGGAGAGCCTCAAGAGAGTGTTGTTTTATTTATTTTTAAAAGAGCTAAAAGACTCTGATCCCCTGGCTTCAAAGGTGTTTGGGGCTACAACACTTCAAGGGAAAACTCTTACAACAGCTGATCCAATATCATTCTTGTTTTGACTGGCTTTTACTTTTTTCTAGTGAATTTACCCTACTTGAAGTTTGTGGTTGGACTGAAGCACTGGCAGAACAGTTTAATTGTATGTTTGTGAAGTTTTTAGCACTGCAGGACTCAGCTGAGTGGCAGACACTAGGCGTAGCATAATGGTCACATTAATGAAAATTTTTTTTTTTTAAAGCTGTAACCTTTTACTGTCTGTGTATCTAGGTGCAGTGATCTTCACGGCCAGACTGTAAGCTGGGTTAGTTTGTGCAGCCCTGCCTTTCGCACAGAAAGGCTTGCCCAGATAGTCCGGGGTTCTCTGGGATGAAGAAAAGCCTCACACTCTGCTGCTGGGTTGCTGGGGAGCTGCCAACCATGAACCAGTATGGGCATTAAACTAATAAAATCTGTTTATTTTTTATACAGGGATCAGCTGGGTTACCTGGAGAAACTGGTCCATCTGGAAGCCTTGGTGAAAAGGTATTATAACACATCTGCCTATTGAGCAGCAAAAATCAGCTTTGAAAACCATTAGTGAGAGCAAATATTGGTGAGAGATCATTTACTGGCCACTGTGACAGAGCTAATATTCTAATAGCTATTTCAGAGCGTAGGGATGTAATAAGTAGTAACCCAAATACCGTATTTGAGATCTGCATCTGGTATCCTTGGTTTTACTTTGTCAATGAATTTAGAGCTGATACAAATGAGATAGCAAATCTATTATAGCACTTTACTATCTAATGCTGTTGACTCACAGAAACTGGCACAACTGATGTTTGTTTTATACACCAATCACTGATTTTGCTGCTATATAGTGAAGAGATGAAAGTAGAACAGTAAAATTTGACCATATGCATTAGTAACTCTGCTAAAACACTTCTTAAACAAAGTTGAGTAAATAAGACGTTGTTAGTTTTGTCTACTCTACAGTAACAGTTGTGTTTATTAAAGCAGTGTTTGGCAGAGTTAATGTGACCAGAACAGCATAAATAACTTAAATCTATTTGACGTGGTTTTATTTAAGTGAAATATTTTAAAGCTGAAAAACAGGAAACTATTAGTGGACTATATGTCAACTTCAATTATAATAAAAGCATAATTGTTTGTCAGAGTGATCCAGCGCTATTTATATTTCTACCCTACAGGGATAAATTATTTCACCTAGACCAGTGGCTGCTATTTAAAGAGATGTTACTGAAAAAAATCTACTCAGTGATTTACTAGAACTTTCATTAAAATCTGATGAGAATTTTGCTGTTGGTTTGTATAATATATGCAAGGAAATATATCAATGAAAAGCACTGCTTGTAAAAACTTAAATTTAGACAAGTCTTATATGGTTTTAATCACAATATCATCGTAGCATTCAATGTCAAAGGATTCCTGTTCTTCATAATTACACTTTGCTCAACAGCGTGTTACCTTAGGATACTGTTGCTAGTTTAACTAGACTAATTAATCTATCAACAAATGGAGGCAAGCTGGTATATTCTTTTCATTACTGTGCTGTTTCTGTGCCATTTATTATCTTCCTCTTTTATGAGATTAAATACTACAGTGTGAACATGCTATGTGGATTTAAATGACAGATGTACTTTGAGCATAATTATTTTAAAGAAATGTGTCCTTAACATAAAATATGTATCATTATCACTATGTTGTGTGTAGTAGCTGCTATAAAAGTGTAATCTTTGTAGTGGGGATAATCTACAGCTGGAGCTGATGTTTAGCTGCATGTTAAATGGGTAAAAGATGAGAAAGGTGTGACAAGAAAGAGGCTTTTTCTACTGCACCTACTCTGATTGCTTCCACGGCTGCTGCAGGGTTGGCCTTGCTTATATATCTGTGTTTTTACTGACATGCATTGAAAAAATTAAGGAAGGGAAACAACATTGTATTTTTTTTTGCTTGTTTGCTTACAAGGTGAGAGGTTTGTGGATTAAAGAACGTAAATAACTATAAATATGGTGCACCAAAAGGCGGGGAGGGGGTGGGGTGGGGGAATTTGTGAGCCACAGTTTGCAGAGACCAATGTAGTACCAAATCTGTTTTCTGGTCTTCTAGGGAAAGGGAAAGACAGAAAAACTGATAGTTTTATTTCTTTTCATAATAGGGGTGGGCTTTTAGGGAGAAGGAGTGCAGAAATTCCAAAATAGGAGAAAAGAAGGCCCCTGCACTGCTTCTGAAGGGCAGTGTCTGAGTTGCCTGTATTCCCTTTCTTGGATTTTCTTCCCCTGAACCAACTGTGTTATGTACTGCAAGAAGTGGTTCCCTTTGGCAACCAAGTCCGCTGTAGACTATGGGCTACAGCCTTAATAAAAGTCCTCTGGGACCATTGTGGTATTGTTATCGCAGGTTAGCCTTGTTAGCCAGATATGCTTGGAACACTGGAAATGGAATGAGTCAGTGAAAGAGCACTCACTATTATTGTCTTTTTAATGTTTCGTTAAAGGGAGAACGAGGCAGTCCAGGAGCAATAGGTCCTCCTGGAGAGAAAGGTGTCATGGTAAGTCACAAGTAAAGCAAAATCCATATTTATATTACTTACAAAGGCACTTTACTTTCTAAATGGGTAATAATTTCTCACTCTCCTAACTATGCATGCCTTATAGGAAAAAAAAATAGTATTTATGATGTATTGCTTTGATGAAGTTTCAATTAGCAGCTTTATCACTCTGTAGATCTAGCATTGCAAAGTGTTTTGCTGAATGAAGCAGCCGAACAAGTGCATTTTTTAAAATAGCTTTCAGCAGACTTAGGTACGAAATTAAGCACAGTGAATTGAAAGGAGAGATAAAGAAAGGCAGGAGAGTAAAATCTATGATCTGCTATGTATATTAGTGTATCATAAACTCTTCTAGTAGGCAAATTCGTAACCAGAGTGATCTCTTGTGCTACTGCACAGTAATATACGGACAGCCTCTGGCACCACTCCAGTGGGAAGACTGGCTTCCTGACGGCACGGCTTGTCATAAATCAGGGTGCAATGTTTCATGCAGCATTTGACCTTCTAGAGGCCACTGCAATGAGTGTTACAAACAACTTAGCTCTCTTTCACCACCAAAGTTCAGAGCCTGGCCTCAGTAGCAAGGTCGTTCCTTTCTGTGCCAGTCCCATATTAAGCAGGTTGTCAGGGCACAGGAGTACAAAGCTATGCTGCCCACTGCCACGTTCACTTTGAACTTCTCAGGGAGATGTGGTTAGCATTTGATCAGGTGTTTGCTAGTGTGCTCTGTGATGGCCTCACAAAGTATAGAGAATGCTGAGGGGCTTTTAATTGTTGGCTTGTAAGGAGATTAGAGGGATCCTTTCAGAGAGATTCCTTTACAGAAAAACCTGTTTTTCAGTGTCAAAGCAATGTTAATGACGCAACTCCAGGCTTATACTATGAGTATGCCAAATATCCATCACAGAGATTGGTTTGAACTTATCTGTTATTTAATATGAAAGTCAGCATAGGTTTGAGATGCTTCCAGATTCACATACTCTTTATCCATTGACTTAGCATAGGTGCTGTGTCCTGCTATCTGGCACCAAAGCTGCAGGCAGTGGAGGTCAAGTCTCAGTGATCGTATGTAGAGGTCACAGACGCAGGCCTAAGAGTGATGCAGTGTGGCATGTTCTTCCTGCTAGTATGTGGAAATAGACTTTATTACTGAATGTTTGCAGCAGTTACCCTTTGTGCATCCATTGCCAAGGAAGAGACCAAAGCACCCGCAGGCTGCAGACTGACTTGATCCATGCAGCAGAGAGGATGATTTTTGAAACGCTCCATGCTTCATTAAACCTCTCTGATCTGAGTTTATCTTCCACCAACTGCTTTTGATCTAGGAAAAAAAAGTCATGAGAGCACTGAATAAAGGAGGATTTATTAATATAGGATCCTATTTTATAAACTACCTTTTATCAACCAGTAGGCATGCTTACTGCCATAAGTAAATCCACTTAAGTCATAGTAGTGAGAGCCATACCCTGTAGTAAGTGTTCACAGCCCATGGATAGGAGCTGTGCTTGGCATTTTGTCTGGGCTAGCCCTGCCTACATGGGGATGTTTACATCACTGTTAGTGAGGATTTTGGATTTGGTCAACAAACTCTGCAAGATGCATTAGCACACTTAACTGATTTGTCCAGTGAGTATAAATCCACCACTGAATAGAATGGTAAATGTTGTTCTAGGCTGCTGGCTCTGATGATGGTTTTCCTCCCCCAAAATCAGCATTGCCTCAGAGGGTCATTTCTAGGAGCAGGTAAAACTTTGTGGATGTTTTAGACATGTGAAGGGCTTTAATCATCAGGAGAAGCTCATGTTCATATCTAATGGTACTAGAGAAAAGAGTTTGCATTTCAAGAAATCTCTGAAGATTGTATTATTAGTTTTGTGCAGATGACTTTAAAAAAATATCAAATTCATTTAGTTAGATTGCAGCAGCTTTTTTTTCAGTGCAGAAACTAGCTTTGTAAGTCCTTCCTGCCTATTTGTTGGAAAACTTCATAAAATCTTTTAATGATTTTTGTGGTGTATCCAAAATAATGTCTGTTTTCTAAACAAATTTTTGCAAGATTAAACATTTTATTAATATACCTCAAATTTCAGGCAATTCACTAGATTTATTGTTGTTGTTGTTATCTACATTTTAAACAATTTTGATAAAATTATCCTGTCTTTTTTTTATATTTATTTCAATTCTAGGGCTACCCAGGACCTCCAGGAGGCCCTGGGCCTGTGGGAGCAGAAGGATTACCTGTAAGTATATAGCAGTGCTTTGATTTGACATAAAATGTATGATTTTTTTAGACTGTCCATTTGCGGTGCTGAAGTTAAGAAAGCTTGCTAATTTGTACTGAAGCCAGTAAAACTGTCATGAAAATTTACCCACCCAAACACAAAGTCTATTCACTTTACCATGATGAAACATGAGAGAGACAAAAACTAATTATATCATTTACTCACCCGTTTAACAATTACTCATTGAGACAAGTAGGGAAGTAGAATTTTTTTAGGATGGTTTATAATTGCACAGTAACGCACAGCAATTTTATTTTTAATTCATCGATGCTTAATATAATCTACGTGTACTCATTATATGTTTAGTTTAATTATTAAACAAAAAGAAATTAATTTCCTGATTTGGTGTATAGTTGTGTTATCATTTGGCTATAGGTCGTCAGTAGAGACAAAAACTGAATCTTCTATAACAAAGTATTAGTTTTTTTTTAACATAATGTTACTGAAATACAAGTATCCTTTGACAATTTTGGAATGTTGGATAGATGTAATGTAGCCAACAATCACATCATAATTTCTTATTCAGAATAAAGTTATACAGGGGCTGCTGTTCATATTTTTCTAGGTAAATTGTACTAACACAATTAACTGATTTTACAACACATGTGAAATTTTGGTTTGTGGTGGTTGCATTGACTATTGTGAAATCTACATGAGCTTTGTCATTTCTAGAAATCTTTCTGTAGAAGACAATGAGTAATGAGTTTATTTGGCATGTAGGGACCCCCAGGGACAGGAGGACCACCTGGGTTACAGGGACCTAAGGGAAGAAGAGTAAGTATTGTTGGTATTTGTCACTACCATTGGACTGTTGCAGTGTTTTATGGGCTTTTTTGTTTATCATCACTTCATTTTTGTCTTTGGAAAGAAAATGAAAATCTCTAAGGCATGGTTGAGAGAGAGAAGAAAAAGCAAAGCCCAGTATATCACCCAAGAGAAGATAGTGTATTCCAGCATCTCAAACCTCAGATTAGACAGTCATTTGTGTTTCCCGTATGTTTTCAGTGAAATGTGAACCCTTTTTTTATTGTATACAAAACAATAATCCAAAGCCCAGGTAAGCCAATGAGGAGTCTATCCATATCAAGATCCAGAGGTTTTCCTCCAATTTCATTAGATGGATATTTAAGACAGTATGGGATTATTTATAAAAGTTTTCATTCTTTCATATGACTTCCTCCTTCTTCAGAAGAAATCTGTTGTAGTTTACCTCTTTGTTCATGGGTACCATTTGTGAAATGTAGCATATGAAATGTATAATTTCCACTAAAAATTTTGAGTAGTGATACTGGACTACTCTGTATTCGGCAAAGGAGTCCAGCTGTCAATGCCAAGTGTTTGGAGGTTTTCTTTGTTTAGTTGCAGATGCAGAATATAATTCATCCTAGACTTTAATTCAGTCAAATGGGTGAGGCAGATTTGAGCACATATCCATCTAGACTTCTTGTGCTAGCCTGAAGTACCTATCATCAGTAGGAGATTTGTTTGAGTTTGGGTTTCAGGATTGAGGACTTTATGGTAACGCTTCAGTTGCTCGTAGAAAAGGATGTACCCGCTACCACCAGAAATAATATTCATGATCTTCTGAAAATAGCGCTCATTCTTCCCTTACAATAGATTTATTTTTAGAAAGCTTATTTAAAAGTTTAAAAAAAGATTAAAAGATTAAAAGTAAATTTAGTTAAGAAAAAGCAGGTGAGACCTGTGAGAGATGGGAAACATACTTAAGTATTTGGAATGAACTGTTAGTGACTTGCATTGGCTTGGCACAGTGGAATAACTAAAGCCATCTTTCTTAATGTTTATTCCTTAGTCTAATGCTGCATTAAAGTTTAACACCTCATTTGGTGTACTTCACCACATGTAGCCTATCAGTGCCCAGCAAACCGAGTTGATCAAGGCCTGTTTGTCAGGCAAAAACTGAAATGCAGATACGTTTGTTTATGAAATATATCTGACAAAACTCAGAGAATCATTAATTAGATGCAGAGAGCATGAATCCACCCTCACTTTCAAATGTGGAACCCTCCTGGTGTGTGCAGAGTTACACTACCTAGAACTGGGGAAAGAGGGAGAGTCCGACCCCAGCATCGGCTAGCAGAGAAGTAGCTCCTGAAGCACTGGGAAGGTGTTTATACAAACACGCTTGGTGGAGGAAGGCTCTAGGGGCTCCAGGGAGCCCTGTGGTAATGCTAGAGCAGCCTTCTGTGCCAGGAGGGAGAATCTCAGCTTTTGTTTGGAGGAGAGGGAGGGGAAAAAACAGCCCTTTTACTTCACAGACAGCTTTGAAAATGCAAATCAAAACAGAGAAATGCAAACCAGTTGTGAGGCTGAAAGGAAGTAGCAGTTTGGCTCCACTTTTTCCGTCAACAGCCTGATTCAGCCAGGCAAACTAGTACACTTATCTTTCTGGGATTTCAGTAGGAGCATGTATGAAGTGAAATGCATGCCAAAGTGTTTTGCTGGCTTGGGACACACAAGCCAATGGCACGTGGATGAGGAGAATACATATGCACAGCCATTTTCAATGTAAAATGCTTTTGTTCAGGCTTCATCTAGAAAATAAAACCCCTTGGGCCATATCTGTCCGCAGGAGTTAACGTGTGGTTTTTCACCTATGGGATGCAGTGGGTTAGAAGGCCAGCTCAAAATAATTCAGTGTAAATTTTCTAGTCATCCCTGAGATGAGGACTGAGCTGCTGCTAGCTGCACACTGTACTTCCTTTGGACTTGGCATCGCCCCCAAAACTCTCACTCTGATCCCTCCCTCCTGCCAGTCCATCTGCCAGCATCACTGGAGCTGGAGTTAGGGCCCAGCTACTGCTAGGAGTGTGGCTCCTGCCTGCTCTTCTCCCACCCAGCAGCAGCTGTTACCTGCCACTATTTTAACTGGGGGGAAGTCTAATTTAGATTCTCTTTTGAATGTAGGAGGTAGTAATTTAGTTAAGAACTGTCACATCTGCCAACTGAGTCAGGAACTTTTGAGGGAGCTTCTCTATGATTTTGGCAGCACATCATGGTGTAGAGTGCTTATGATTAAAGATCACACAAAATAAATCCCAAACATCCCAAGCTATGTGGAAGTCCCTGTTTGGAACTACGAGTTTAGGCCTTTGTCTCCATCCAGCATTGCTGGGAATGCTTTGTAGAAGACAGCTCAGAGCAGTCCCAGGTCTTCAGGCTCTGCAAATGAACTCCCTTTGAAGCTGTTGAGAATTTTGCCTATTCATAACATCAAAATATCGTGTTTAAAGTGGAATCAGCATAAGGAAAATATCTAAGATCCCTGGAAACCCAGAGTTGGGTTTGTCATCACTGGGTTCAGAATGAGAACAGTGTCAGAACCCTGAGCTCTGTGTGGCAGGCCTCAGAAAAATTCATACTGCAGTCACATACAGAAGTTAAACAAAAGCATATGGAAATTCCACTTCATTATGTCCTGAAACAAGAACGTATGCCATCTTCACAGCTGGAATCTGCAGGAAGTCTTACGAGCGCTGACCATCTGTTTCTGCACTGTCACACAGTGGAATTCCTTCATCTTTCAGCAACCAGTTTGTATCCAAGATTACCCAGAAGGCTACTTCTGCTTGAGAGTATCCAGCTGCTCAGTCTGCAGGGTATGGGGGAACTCTGGCCAGCTGAAGAAGGCAGACTGTCTAGGAGACTATGGTGTATCTCACTGTTGGGGGATTTGGGGGTATGTCACTGAGCATAGTGCTAGCATAGACCTTCCTCTGCTCATGCTCAAGACCTGATGCACTTAAACTGGAATCGCATGGAAAGCTGGGTCCTTTTATGACCCACATTTTATTTTTTACTGTTTAATCTACTGAAAGCACAGAGGGAAAACGCTGCTTTGTAGGTACTTCAAAGGCAGAATGACGCTCTGGGAGGTGGGAATAGTTGTATCTGCAGGGAGGAATTTTGCCCTAAGACCATAAGAAACACGTTTGTGTGGAGGACATGGTGCTAGCAGTGCTGGCAGTCTTGAAGCCACTCTTGCATGTTCTTTTGTTGCCATAAGTCTGTGTGCTAATGTATGGAGAAGAAAATTAGAATGTCAGGGACTGGTGCTGCTTTTTGTTCATGCTGTAGTCTCTGATTAATACAACCATTGCTTTTAATTTGAGAGGAAGAGATAGAGTATCATGATATATGATAGATTCACTTCACACCTGAGACGTAAGCAAAATTTTCAATGGTTGCTTGGGCTCTTAGCAGAGGCAGCTGTCCTTCAGACTGTTGTTCAGTGTTTTAAAGCTTAGGAAGCAATAATTTTTCTGCTCTTATTTGCCTGGAATGTAGCTTATCGAATTCAGTTTGAAAATACAGATAAATGGCATGGTGAAGTGCCACAAATTTGGGGTCAGGCAACAGCAGCAGATGTCCTTTGCAGCCAGTAAGGTTATCCTTGCTTCAGTTGTGTCTGTACTGGCCTGAGGAAGCTCAATTACATAAGGACATCAGTAAGAGCGTGCATATCTATCTAAAATTGTTCAAAGGAAGTAAGATTAAAATGGATGTCGTTTCCCAATATTCTTCCATGTCAGCCATCAGAAGAGAGAAGCATCTATGCGGTACATTCATGTCATTTCATTCTCCTTGCGTTTAGGAGGCAGGGTGAGGAAGAAAAACAGAGAGTTGATTGATTGCTGTGTGCCTTTTTAGATGAGCTTTTTCGCAGTTTCTTATCTTTGAATCTTCAACACAATATATTCAATTTTAGAAACAAAGCTGAATCCATGCCAAAAAAAAAAAAAGTAGTAGCAATCATTTGGCAGCTCTATTCCTCAGCTCCATTGCAACCTAAATTAAATAACAGCAGGCAAATCATATATATCTCTCATTCTGTACTAGCTATAGTAGGAAATGATACAGATCCAAATAATCTGTATTATTTATAGGGATGTTATGTTGTGCTTTTGTTAGAACATGAAATTGCCTTTCGCTTGGATTCCTGTGCCCTGCTCTATGGCAGACTAAAGGTAGGCTGCAAGGAGGCATTGCCCAGAGCCAAAAGTTGAGCATCATGTTGGTTTACTTTGTTTTCACTTCAAAATTACATTCTAAGAGGTTGGGGTTTTGAACAGTAGGCCTTTTCATGTAATAACTGGGGATCAAATTGGTTGTTATTCTCTTCCAAATGACTGGATGGTTGATGCTGGCTCCACTGCAGTGACAGTGTCTGTGGGACTAGTGGAAAGGTTTTGGTGCATTTAATATAACACAGACTGAGAAACTTGTTCAGTTTCCTGATTTGCCTGTTTCTCAGACTATGGGTTGTGACCCTCCTTATGATTAAAATGAGGTCACACAGTGTTGGAAGAATTTATCTCTTGATATTTTTAATGAAAAAACATAAAGCCTAGAAATCAATTTCTTTATTCTACAAATCTATAGAATCAATATATGTCCTTTTTCCTCCTTCAATATTTCATCTTGAAATTCTGTCAGCCCTGCGGCAGGATGCACAAAGACAGATGATGGATTATGTATCTAAAAGTATGGAAAACACGGAAACTGTTCTGTAAGTGCCTGGCTTACCACTCTGCATTTCCCCCCTCCTATGTTCCCCTAGTGTTTGTTCTCGGAGAAGTTTCACATGAAACCAGTTTCTGATTGTGGGACTTTAAAGTAAGCCTGCTTAGTCTGCCTTCCTGGTAGAGATACCAGTTACAGAGAAAGAGCAGAGAGGTAACCTGACATTAACTTGATCAAAACGTTTAGTTTTCTTCTGAATTATGCAGTTTAGTAGTTCAGTAATCCAGCATACACAGTTACATAGTGTAACGTGAGGCCCAGTTATGTAGCTCTTATGTAAGCCTACATAAGAGCCTTCATGTTTGAAAATGATGGTAATCTTTTGGGTGTGATCTGCAATTGCATTGAAGTTCACCAGGAGTTTTTCCACATACTTCAATAATCTTTGGATGGGACCTTTCTCAGCAAGAGCCCTGCAGCGAGTAGGAGTGTGTTCTTTTGTACCTTCTTTTCTATCTAACTTGAAAAATCGCGTGTAAATACTCAGTCCTGGTTCACACCAAAATGAGAAAGGTGGCCTAGGTAACACAAGGATTACCTCACAGAAGCTGTGTCCAGAACTACTGAGGTATCAGAAGTATTCAGGCAGCTTTCCCTGCCCATTCATTTTCCCTCTCCTATGGTTTCCGTGTTTCCTAGTGCTGAAATGCTGACGGATAAACTTCTCATGGGATATTTCTGGCTCTACCAGAGGATGTAATTTTATATCAGCTCACAGGAGAGGCCTTTTTATAGGAGATTTCTGTTTCAGAAGTAAAGCCTGGATTCTAGTTATACACTGTTCCCGAGTTACCAATGAACCATTTCTTTCACTGAAATTCCTGAGAGAGCGGGTGCTTGTCGTCTGTTGTGACACAGGTTTTGGTGAGCTGCAGTAAATCCAAGTCAGAGAGAGAACAAAATTCTGTGATGTTTTGTCTCAAAAAGTCAAGAGGGACATAGAAGTTACAGACATTTTTGAGGAGAAAGTAATCTAAATAAAATCAGACGTGCTTCCAACCAAGTCATTATGCAAGCTCTGTTATTGCCTATTAGAACAATACTGCAACTCTCTGGAAATCGGACAATGTTGCCTGCTCTACACTATAAACTGTGACCCGTGATGTAGAGCACTCCACATCTCAGAAATGTGCTTTAAAAATACAGATCGTTTTCCTCTGGACATGCAGTAGCAATGTACTGGTTCCCTCTGAGTGATGGCAAAAGCCCAGATGCTGCCAGTAATGCCGGGGGTCTCTCATCTGCCTGCCATGCACTGCTGTAAAGACCTGGCACCATCATCTTAATGTCCACCTCGTTCTTTACAGTGGTCGTTTGTTTTAAATTTTTATTAACTTATTTTATTTTCAGTATCCAAGCAGTTGTTTGGTTTAGAATTATGGAAATACCCTCCTAAGTCAGCAAAGATAAAACGTTCTTTTCTATTTTGCTCATCACCTGTTTTAGGTCTTTTTTTTTTTATTTCTTTTTGCTTGTAAATTAAGGATTTGGATATCTAATCTTCAGCAATCATTTCTGTACATTTTGAGCATAAATATTTGCTAAATTGTAATATAGTAATATAAAATAATAGTATCTTTTTTCATATACTGATTATAAAATGTCAATTTACAATAGACATTTTAGCCTAGTAATATAGCAATTCACTGTATGAGTTCATAAATTGGTTTTAATCTTGCCTCAAACTGATTTACTGATCAAATAACTTTATCTGCCTGTTTTATTTGCTAGCAAGGAGGATTTTTGCATCTACAATTTATAATTTGCTCAAAGGCAACACCTCATATAACTGATGCTCGTGTAAATTCTTCTAAAATGTCTGTTGCATGCATACAAAGTGGGTGGAAAAGAGAGTGAAAAATATCTGCCTGCAAGCTGTGTCCAACAGAGACCCTAAATATCTTGTTAAATAGTAAAAGGAAGAGCTTTCTTAAACTGATATTACAGCAAGCTGGAAACTGATTTTACAGCCTTTGATGCTTTATTTCACACTTAACATACAATGAAAATTGATATTCATCCTGTGGATTTTCAGAGTACATGCTAACAAAATATGTTGTTTCCCTCTCCTAAGGTTTATGTTCTGTCTCTCCTGATGATAACCAAAAATAATGTGGAATTAATATCCCAAATCACTTGTTTAATATTCAGGGGCCAAGAGGTCTGGATGGTCCTTCAGGAGAAGCAGGGGCACGAGGCATTAAGGTAAGTGCTTTACTCAGTACACAAAACATTTATTAAATTTTTATTAACTTATTTTATTTTCAGTATCCAAGCAGTTGTTTGGTTTAGAATTATGGAAATACCCTCCTAAGTCAGCAAAGATAAAACGTTCTTTTCTATTTTGCTCATCACCTGTTTTAGGTCTTTTTTTTTTTTTATTTCTTTTTGCTTGTAAATTAAGGATTTGGATATCTAATCTTCAGCAATCATTTCTGTACATTTTGAGCATAAATATTTGCTAAATTGTAATATAGTAATATAAAATAATAGTATCTTTTTTCATATACTGATTATAAAATGTCAATTTACAATAGACATTTTAGCCTAGTAATATAGCAATTCACTGTATGAGTTCATAAATTGGTTTTAATCTTGCCTCAAACTGATTTACTGATCAAATAACTTTATCTGCCTGTTTTATTTGCTAGCAAGGAGGATTTTTGCATCTACAATTTATAATTTGCTCAAAGGCAACACCTCATATAACTGATGCTCGTGTAAATTCTTCTAAAATGTCTGTTGCATGCATACAAAGTGGGTGGAAAAGAGAGTGAAAAATATCTGCCTGCAAGCTGTGTCCAACAGAGACCCTAAATATCTTGTTAAATAGTAAAAGGAAGAGCTTTCTTAAACTGATATTACAGCAAGCTGGAAACTGATTTTACAGCCTTTGATGCTTTATTTCACACTTAACATACAATGAAAATTGATATTCATCCTGTGGATTTTCAGAGTACATGCTAACAAAATATGTTGTTTCCCTCTCCTAAGGTTTATGTTCTATCTCTCCTGATGATAACCAAAAATAATGTGGAATTAATATCCCAAATCACTTGTTTAATATTCAGGGGCCAAGAGGTCTGGATGGTCCTTCAGGAGAAGCAGGGGCACAAGGCATTAAGGTAAGTGCTTTACTCAGTACACAAAACATTTAGATAACCCATGACAGACAAGCCAAATAATGAAGCATATCAGGAGCCATAATAAGTTTGTTTAGTACAAAAGGAGACTGGCAAACTTCTGCCTCCTTAAAGTACTTCCTTATTATGATATATGCATATCTAAGCCTGAGTCTGCAATTTCTGCGGCATTCCCTTGCAATTAAATTGACAGCCCATGCACGTGTTGCAGCTTATCTAGCAAATGCACACAGAGCTCACATATTGTTGGTTATTTATCAGGGAGAAAGAGGAGATCCAGGAAAGAAAGGACTCCCTGGGCTCATTGTAAGTATCAGAGCCAGTCTTTGTATTAAGGCATAACATAGTTACTGTTAATTTCTGGGTCATGTTGGAATTTATCTGAAGCAAGCATTGTCTTTCAATATTTATCTGTGACTAGGGTAAGGCTGGAAATCCAGGAGAAAGAGGAGATCAAGGAGTACCAGTAAGTACTGAAATGCTGTGATACTTCTGCCAAAACAAATAAAACTTCAGACCTCACTTTGCACTGAGATATGAGGGAACTCTTTATAGAACTGGAAGACACTGGCAGTATAGTTTGCATTTTTCATGAAAGAATCACGGGCTGAAGTGGGAGCAAGCGTGAGTGTAGCCTGGTCTGCTACTGTTCAGTGACCAGTGTTTTCATGGGTGATGTTCCACAGAGGGCAATATGAGAGCAAATTGCAGCAGAAAAAATAGCACCTGTGATAAGTAAGGGAGTGCTAGAAGTTACTTCATATACTGAAGTAGTTCTGTTGTAGTTTTAAATGGGAAAGTCATTGTGGCATAGAGACACAGTTCTCTAATAGATTTTAGAGTAGATATGTACTATCAATATGGGATTGAATACATAAAATAGATATCATACATATGGACAAAAATTCCTGTTTTTATGGCTTCTTTCTATGGAAATGTAAGGTGTCCTGTCTGAGGCTTTCTTTTGTAAAGGTGATTACCAGACAATCCAGTTACAGCAGATTTTCAGGAGGGAAGTATAAAAGCAGAAATGGTAGTGATTTTGTGCTAAAATTGGGACTGAGAACATTGGTTGCTACTGAACTTCTCTTTACCCCTTTTGCTCAAATTTGGAAGATTTTTGCCTCTCACCCTTGGCATAATGTGTTTTCATTCTTACACTGTGATTTTTGTATGTATTTAAATATACAGAAATAAATGCAGCAAAACCTCTTTAGGTTGAAATGATGGGAACTAGTACAGGTATTTCAGAGTACAAAATACTGCTCTAGCACTCCTATAGCCACAGTTTCTAGAAGGGGATATGAGACAGAAATGCAGTGAGCCAGAGTGAACGGAAAGGGCTTCTTGCCCCCTCCACTATGCTCCTCGCATTGTGGTGTGAACCTTGCTGATGATCTCAAACACTGTTTTTAAGATAGGATGCTGGTAACGTTGTGGGTAGGCACGGTTTGCGCACACAAACAACATGTGAGGCTAAGGAAAATGGTAAGGAACTGGTAAAAGGTCGGTCAGCCAGGAGCCATCCCTATGTTAAAGAAACGGAAGCAGGATTCACTTGAGGCTCCCTCAGCTGCCACAGGACCTAGTGCTGGAGTAACACATGTCATCTAGAAGAAAAGGCTGTGCATATTTCTGTGTATTTCTGAACAAATTATTGAGTAAGCAGAAATAAGAGAGGATGTGGCTTTTTTACAGAATATGAAACAGCTTGTTTCCTACCAATTTTTTTTATTTTATTTCATTCTATTTTAATCTTCTAGGGTCTGCCTGGGCCTCCTGGAACCACAGGAGACAGGGGACCAGTGGGAGAGCCAGTAAGTTGATCCTTATGGCAGCTTAATAATTTTTCCACGTATTGTACTGAATTCCCTGGAAACTTGAGCTCAATTTTACCAAGATTTGATGTTGTCAGCTGTGGTTAAATATGAGTCGTGGTGTAATTGTTCCAAAACTACAGGGCCAGAGTCGGCCTCCCTTGCTTAGCGCAACTCATGCATAAGCAGCCCTGTTGATCTTTTTGGGCAGCGCTGCAGTAAGGAGTGCACAATGCAGGAGAGCATGACAGAGTTTCACCACAGTACTATGTGACTTTATGCTGCGTTGAGGTAGACATGTATTGTGGATTATGTAAATGTATGTGTAAATACAGATGTAAATAGTAATTCTTTTCAGGCAAATTTTATGATGGTTATTCAGGAACTTGGGGGCCATGTCTATTTGGCAGGTTGAAGTTTCAGCAAGAGACTGTTTTAATAAACTTCAGACGTTCCTCTGCTGACTAGATTCCTGCTCTGATTATTGTTATTTCAAAGCCACACTCACTTTTATGTGGCTAAGTTGTAACAAAAGATCATGCAGGATCTGCAGCAAATATATGCAATGTGCTGAAAGGTGTAGTCATGACAAGAATGCTATTGCACCACCATCTCTGGGGGTAAGTCAGATTTTATAAATATAGTG